GCAAGTCGTTATTAACCAGGGCAAGTCGTTATTAACCAGGGCAAGTCGTTATTAACCATGGCAAGTCGTTATTAACCAGAGCAAGTAGTTATTAACCATGGCAAGTAGTTATTAACCATGGCAAGTCGTTATTAACCATGACAAGTCGTTATTAATCATGGCAACTCGTTATTAACCAGGGCAAGTAGTTATTAACCAGGGCAAGTAGTTATTAACCATGGCAAGTCGTTATTAACCATGGCAAGTCGTTATTAACCATGGCAAGTTGTTATTAACCATGGCAAGTAGTTATTAACCAGGGCAAGTCGTTATTAACCAGTGCAAGTCGTTATTAACCAGGGCAAGTCGTTATTGACCAGGGCAAGTCGTTATTAACCATGGCAAGTCGTTATTAACCAGGGCAAGTAGTTATTAACCAGGGCAAGTCGTTATTCACCAGGGCAAGTCGTTATTGACCAGGGCAAGTCGTTATTAACCAGGGCAAGTCGTTATTAACCAGGGAAAGTCGTTATTAACCAGGGCAAGTCGTTATTAACTAGGGCAAGTCGTTATTAACCAGGGCAAGTCGTTATTAACCAGGGCAAGTCGTTATTAACCATGGCAAGTCGTTATTAACCAGGGCAAGTCGTTATTAACCATGGCAAGTCGTTATTAACCATGGCAAGTCGTTATTAACCAGGGCAAGTCGTTATTAACCAGGGCAAGTCGTTATTAACCAGGGCAAGTCGTTATTAACCAGGGCATGTCGTTATTAACCATGGCAAGTCGTTATTAACCAGGGCAAGTCGTTATTAACTAGGGCATGTCGTTATTAACCAGGGCAAGTCGTTATTAACCAGGGCAAGTCGTTATTAACCAGGGCAAGTCGTTATTAACCATAAGTCGTTATTAACCAGGGCAAGTCGTTATTAACCATAAGTCGTTATTAACCAGGGCAAGCCGTTATTAACCAGGGCAAGTCGTTATTAACCATGGCAAGTCGTTATTAACCAGGGCATGTCGTTATTAACCATGGCAAGTCGTTATTAACCAGGGCAAGTCGTTATTAACCATGGCAAGTCGTTATTAACCAGGGAAAGTCGTTATTAACCAGGGCAAGTCGTTATTAACCAGGGCAAGTCGTTATTAACCAGGGCAAGTCGTTATTAACCAGGGCAAGTCGTTATTAACCATGGCAAGTAGTTATTAACCAGGGCAAGTCGTTATTAACCATAAGTCGTTATTAACCATGGCAAGTCGTTATTAACCATGGCAAGTCGTTATTAACCATGGCAAGTCGTTATTAACCATGGCAAGTCGTTATTAACCATGGCAAGTCGTTATTAACCATGACAAGTCGTTATTAACCAGGGCAAGTCGTTATTAACCATGGCAAGTCGTTATTAACCAGGGCAAGTCGTTATTAACTAGGGCAAGTCGTTATTAACCATGGCAAGTCGTTATTAACCAGGGCAAGTCGTTATTAACCAGGGCAAGTCGTTATTAACCATAACAAGTCGTTATTAACCAGGGAAAGTCGTTATTAATCATGGCAACTCGTTATTAACCAGGGCAAGTCGTTATTAACCAGGGCAAGTCGTTATTAACCAGGGCAAGTCGTTATTAACCATGGCAAGTCGTTATTAACCAGGGCAAGTCGTTATTAACCAGGGCAAGTCGTTATTAACCATAACAAGTCGTTATTAACCAGGGAAAGTCGTTATTAATCATGGCAACTCGTTATTAACCAGGGCAAGTCGTTATTAACCAGGGCAAGTCGTTATTAACCAGGGCAAGTCGTTATTAATCATGGCAAGTCGTTATTAACTAGGGCAGGTCGTTATTAACCATGGCAAGTCGTTATTAACCAGGGCAAGTCGTTATTAACTAGGGCAAGTCGTTATTAACCATGGCAAGTCGTTATTAACCAGGGCAAGTCGTTATTAACCATGGCAAGTCGTTATTAACCAGGGCAAGTCGTTATTAATCATGGCAACGCGTTATTAACCAGGGCAAGTCGTTATTAACCATGGCAAGTCGTTATTAACTAGGGCAAGTCGTTATTAACCATGGCAAGTCGTTATTAACCAGGGCAAGTAGTTATTAACCATGGCAAGTAGGTATTAACCATGGCAAGTCGTTATTAACCATGGCAAGTCGTTATTAACCAGGGCAAGTCGTTATTAACCAGGGCAAGTCGTTATTAACTATGGCAAGTTGTTATTAACCAGGGCAAGTTGTTATTAACCAGGGCAAGTCGTTATTAACCAGGGCAAGTCGTTATTAACCAGGGCAAGTTGTTATTAACCAAGGCAAGTCGATATTAACCAGGGCAAGTCGTTATTAACCAGAGCATGTCGTTATTAACCAGGGCAAGTCGTTATCAACCACGGCAAGTCGTTATTAACCATGGCAAGTCGTTATTAACCAGGGCAAGTAGTTATTAACTAGGGCAAGTTGTTATTAACCATGGCAAGTTTTTATTAACTAGGGCAAGTCGTTATTAACTAGGGCAAGTCGTTATTATCCATGGCAAGTAGTTATTAACCATGGCAAGTTGTTATTAACCATTGCAAGTCGTTATTAACTAGGGCATGTCGGTATTAACCAGGGCAAGTCGTTATTAACCATGGCAAGTAGTTATTAACCATGGAAAGTAGTTATTAACCATGGCAAGTTGTTATTAATAATTGCAAGTCGTTATTAACTAGGGCATGTCGTTATTAACCAGGGCAAGTCGTTATTAACCAGGGCAAGTCGTTATTAACCATGGCAAGGCGGTATTAACCAGGGCAAGTCGTTATTAACTAGGTCAAGTCGTTATTAACCAGGGCAAGTCGTTATTAACCATGGCAAGTCGTTATTAACCAGGGCAAGTCGTTGTGCGCCGAAGCTGGCGTCATTTCATTCGCTTTCTAAGATTAATTTTGGCACAACCATGATCATCTTTTTGTTCGTGAAAGGGGATGACTGGGTCTACGTTTGTTCAGCCAATTGCGAATGTTAAGACGAATCGAGCATCATGATACTACTCACTGGGGGGAGGGGTGTGTGCAATTTTTACCGGGGATGAAAGTTGAGGCTCACGATATTGACTGGCTTGCCAGACGATATAGCGGAGGCGATTGTTGTTTTCACCACTTGCAGTAGAAACGACGCCACCACGACACAAGACCATGTGCACAGAGACCAACATTAACCGACACTTAGAGAGTGGCCGTGCACCCGTTGGTATGTGTATGTTAACTAGCGATAATGATGCTCTTGTGTTCAAGTTTTGCTTGCTGGCTAGAGGGAGGGAGAGAGGCAGGGACGGACGCACGGCCACGTCCCAAGGACGCGCGGCCTGGGAGTCGGAATGATAATAATGATTCGTGGCTACGACTTGTCTCCTAAATATCCGTGGCAACGAAAAGCTGGTTCCAAAAAAGGTCGCCCCACTTCAACAACTACTTTCATTATATATGTGCATATATATGTGTGTATATGTATGTGTGTATGTGTGTGTGTATATGTGTGTGTGTATATGGGCGCGGCACGGGCTAGAGAAGAGATGGAGTGATGTGGTACAGGAGGATGTGAAGCTGAGTGGACTTGCCGTTGACCGGTACCAGCGGTGTCTATGGTGGAGGCTCGTGAAGGACGCTGCTGCTGGGCAGTTGGAGGCAGCCGCCCTTCAACAACAACGGATGGCGGAGGAGCGACGCTCACAACAACGAGCAGTGCGCCGAGAGGCTAAAGCACAGCGAGTTGGCACAGTAGGGGGCACAGGTGGTGCATCAGCCAGTCATCTCAGTCAGTCTACCCGTGGCACCTGGGTCTGCCCCGTGACCTGTCAGCGGGTGGTCGACACTTCACGTGGCCTCAAGGTGCACATAGCCTGGCACAAGCGTCGTGACGGTTGTTGTGTGTATATGTGTGTGTATATAGTGGGGAGCGATAGTGTAGCGGTTAGCGCGCTGCGCTATGAACCCGGGTTCGATTCCCGCTCATGGCCAACACCAGTGAAGATTATCTGAACCAGTCCTGGGCCTCCCCTAGGTCGACTCAGCCTCAAATGAGTACCTGCTACGGTGTGTAAACATCGCCACTAGGGAGACAAAGGCACTTAACCACACATCACCACACTTCACCACACTTCAAGCAAGGTGCACGTTAACGTGACCGCAGAGCGTGGTGCCAGGCTAGGTGCACGTTGACGTGACCGCAGCGCGTGGTGCCAGGCTAGGTGCACGTTGACGTGACCGCAGAGCGTGGTGCCAGGCTAGGTGCACGTTGACGTGACCACAGCACGTGGTGCCAGGATAGGTGCACGTTGACGTCACCTCAGCCCGTGGTGCCAGGCTAGGTGCACATTGACGTGACCGCAGCGCGTGGTGCCAGGCTAGGTGCACGTTGACGTGACCGCAGCGCGTGGTGCCAGGCTAGGTGCACGTTGACGTCACCTCAGCACGTGGTGCCAGGCTAGGTGCACGTTGACGTGACCGCAGCGCGTGGTGCCAGGCTAGGTGCACGTTGACGTGACCGCAGCGCGTGGTGCCAGGCTAGGTGCACGTTGACGTGACCGCAGCGCGTGGTGCCAGGCTAGGTGCACGTTGACGTGACCGCAGCGCGTGGTGCCAGGCTAGGTGTATGTTGACGTGACCGCAGCGCTTGGTGCCAGGCTAGGTGCACGTTGAGTCCACGCTGCTGGCACGAGGAACAGACTGACAGACGCGCCAGCTGTGCGCTCCCCATCGTGCTCACAACAAATGGACAGATCCCCCGTGTAGCCTGCAGCAGACTGCAGCGGCAAGTGCTGTTCGCGAGCAGCAGCACCGATGAAGACCGCCACGAGGGGGTGGGTGGCGAGCACCACGAGCACGCGGAGCGCACAGACACGCACAGACACGCACGCACAGACACGCACAGACACGCACGCAAAGACACGCACGCACGGGCACGCACGCACGGGCACGCACGGACACGCACGCACGGGCACGCACGCACGGGCACGCGCGGAGAGTCGGGGCTCTGTGTACCTGGACCATCCAGTGCAGAGATTCGCCGATGAGCGGCAGGCCCATGGAGCCACTGGGCAGCGGCAACTTGCAGCTGGGGTCGCGCGTGGCCGCCCACCGCATCGCCCAGAGACGCTGCGACACGAGCAGCAGGAGCAGCGCCGAGCCCAGCCCGGCCGCCAGCGACGCGAGCAGCGAGGCGACGTCCAGCAGAGCTCCCTCCAGCATCGCCATCGTCGCCCTTCCGCGAGTGACAGTCGCGCCGAGCGCCCTGGAGGAGCGGGACACGCGTCTCCCCTCTCAGTCTGTCTCTGTGTTACCCTCCCCACCTCGAGTCACCCTCCGAACCCGCCAGCACCGCCAACAGCACATCAACTCCTCCTGTAAGCTGATTCTCGCCAGCGCGTGTTGTATGCAAACACGGCAATGGTGCGGCCCTGCAAGTTGCTTGCTCACGCCACTGCTGGTGGAAGGGTGGAGCGAACTCTGGAGCGTATTTGGTCGACTCTCCCCATATATGTTGTAGAGAGTAAGTCTATTTGTGTGTGCATGTGTGGGCTTGTGGAGTTATAGTCGGTGCACTGCACTGCAACACCTGAGGCATGAGTCAGATTTTCTGACCACGCACAACATCGCTGGCGAATGGAACGAATTCAGCAACGTGGCAACACTGATTCATAATCTGGCTGGGACCTCCCCAGAGGTTGATTCAAACTAAATTGAGTTACTGGTGGAGTTGTGGTCAACAGCAACAGCGGGGATACAAAGACGCGCGGCCTTGTGGATTACTGACTTCATCTGATGGCTCACTCGCTAGCAGCGCATGCCCCAGTCGTCTGCAAGGGTACGCGGCAGGCTATTTGGAGAGAGTGTTATTCATGAAGGGATATGTTGGTTACCTGGTAGTGCGCTGGACTGTCTTCATCATCAATTAACCCTCTAGCTAACCAAGTGAGAGCCCACAGGTAATCTTCGCCTCTTTTGCAAGTAACATTATGCAATCCAAGTTTTTCAGTTGTCACATTTTATTCAGACATTATTTTACTTTCTATTCAAGACGCGTGACACGAGACGCACTTTGATCCCGTCCATTGCCGCAGCGCTTTTGTAAACAACAACCTAACGGAGGTCCATGCGGGAGAAGGCTGGGAGTCGACTGGCAGCACCGCGGTCACCAACCTCGAAGTTCAGAATGGAAGTGGCAACAATAGAGAAGAAGAAGACGACGAGGGAGCGCGTGCCGGGGTTGGCCACCTTCACAAGGGTCGATTATCGGGCCAAAAAACTGGGGGAAGGAGCCACATGTGGTATGAGATGGGAGCGCAACGTGTGATGTCCCTGCTAAGCGATGGCGCTGCTTGTACGATTGGGAAGACGCTTTAGTGGAGGGATGAACGCGGGCAAGCTGCCACTCATAACATCACTCCATGAGTGTGGGCTCATTCACGGATCCTAATTAGCCATGCCATATGAGCAGCTATAGCAAATCAAGCAAGGAGAAATAGTAATAATAATTCACGGTCCTGCAATAATCATTACATCGCATGCTTAAATATGGGCAGAGCTATGTGGGACGGTGACGTAACGGGGAAGTCGTCATCCAGCAGTAGATAGCCAATGGATACCGATGATCAACATCTAACCTTGAAAATGAGACTCGTGGTCTCAAAGTCTTGTAGATGTGTGTGTGTGTGCGTGAGTCATCACGAGAAGGTGCGAGAGCCGCGCCGAGACCAGCGGCTCCACAGCCTTTGATTCGACAAACAAACAAACCCACCCCTCGACACGTTCGCAATTAACACTGCGTTAAAATAAATAATGGGCGACGTTTCGGCCAATGCCTCTTCTTCGCAACATTTCAATATAGAGGCAAGACAGACAGAGTGGATACTACGGGTTGAGGACTCTGCATTTGCCAAGCAAGGGGTCTGATGAGAATTAAATGTCCGGATACCCCGGGCAGCGATCTCCGCGTGCATGGAGATCGCTGCCCGGGTCGAGCTTGAGACGTCGCCGGACGTGAGTAAGTTCAAGCAGAGGCAGACATCGATGACTTGGTTCTGGGAGTGCCCGCGTGTGCCTGTGTGTCTGTGTGATAACATCGCACCTGTGTGTGTCTGTGTGATAACATCGCACCTGTGTGTGTCTGTGTGATAACATCGCACCTGTGTGTGTGTATGGCCATCGCGCAATGAGCTGTCTCACTTGCGCTAAGATTCCGGCCACCCCGTCTCGTTGCTGCTCGTGATTGCATTCCGCTATCTCGATTATACGCGGGGCTGGAATTGGTCTCCCTCGGGTGAACTCGGCGTACGTGAGGTCCCAGTGCAGTGTTGTGGTCGCAACATATGAATAGAGAGACAAAGGCGGCCAGGCGTGTGTGTGTGTGGTTTACATTCCCACACCTACTCGCGTGCCGTCGTATTTGGCATTTTTGGGAACGTTCGATAGCAGCACTTAACCCACCACAGGCTGTGACGGTTGTTTTTAGCGATCTATTTGGTTTTGATCGATTGTATATGCAGCGGTATGCGTGGTCTCAAGGTGCACGTAGCCTGGCACAACGGCCGTAGCGTGCGTCACCGCCACGTGGTGACCGAACGGCGGTTGTGATATCGGCGCCAGTCGATGTCCAAGTTGTCCTGGATGGTCGCATGTAATAATAGCACGTTACGGAGTTCAGGATATTTTGTTAAAAAACAAACACAAAAAACGATTACAGTCGAAGTGGAGGTGTGTCTTTGTTGCGCGTGCAGGAAAGTCTGGTATCTTCAGACAACAGCGACAGCCCACACTATCATCGTGGAAGGACCAGGCGTCGCTGACACGTCGGGTGGGTGAGTGGAGACCGCGCGTCGCATATCAAAGTCCGTGAATTTCCCACCACGGATTAAATCTGACTTGGCGTCTCTTCCTCAGTTTGTCGTCGCGAACGTGAACCCGAGCACCTCAGCCCTCCCTGAGCTCACAACGGTGCAGAGGCTGCCATGAGTATTTGTGTTCAATGCGCATCCTTGATTTGATTCCGAATTCTGGCTGTGCAGTAATTCAGACATAAATATACATGTACCACAATGCACCACTTGGATGACCAACTTGTTTGTAGTGGTGCACAAACACAATTAACAAAATATCTCAACACACTCGTCGTGAAGAAGGGTCATTGCACGAAACGTCGCCGATTATATATTTAAGGGAGTGCTCGTGACGAGCGTGGTTGTATGATCACGGATGAATAAGAAACTAAAACGCCACAATTTAGACTCGCAAACTATTCAGTTAAGTACTGTTAAGTACTGTTAAGTACAGTCAAGTACTTTTAAGTACTGTTAAGTACTGTTAAGTACTGTACTACTGCGCTACCAGTCAACTGTCAACTAAATACTGAATGAAGGCTTCCCCACACTGCCATGCTGGGAGTGCGAGTCGTGTGATGAGACCTCACCATGGTGGCGGTACGAGCCGTGTGATGAGACCTCACCATGCTGGGAGTGTGAGCCGTGTGATGAGACCTCACCATGCTGGGAGTGCGAGCCGTGTGATGAGAACTCACCATGCTGGGAGTGCGAGTCGTGTGATGAGACCTCACCATGCTGGGAGTGCGAGTCGTGTGATGAGACCTCACCATGCTGGGAGTGCGAGTCGTGTGATGAGACCTCACCATGCTGGGAGTGTGAGCCGTGTGATGAGACCTCACCATGTTGGCAGTGCGAGACGTGTGATGAGACCTCACCATGCTGGTAGTGTGAGCCGTGTGATGAGACCTCACCATGTGCGAGCCGTGTGATGAGACCTCACCATGCTGAGAGTGCGAGCCGTGTGATGAGAACTCACCATGTGCGAGCCGTGTGATGAGACCTCACCATGCTGGGAGTGCGAGCCGTGTGATGAGACCTCACCATGCTGGGAGTACGAGCCGTGTGATGAGACCTCACCATGTTGGCAGTGCGAGCCGTGTGATGAGACCTCACCATGCTGAGAGTGCGAGCCGTGTGATGAGAACTCACCATGTGCGAGCCGTGTGATGAGACCTCACCATGCTGGGAGTGCGAGCCGTGTGATGAGACCTCACCATGCTGGGAGTGTGAGCCGTGTGATGAGACCTCACCATGCTGGAACCGGTCCAGGTATCACTCAGCGCGAAGTTCGCCAGCCATGGCCGTGAATCGAACTCGGCTCGGGACTATGAGCGTAGTGCGCTAACCACTCGGCCCCAGTGCTGTTGGTGAGCGCCTGTTGAGACCTCCACGACACTGACGTTGCATGGGAGTAGCTTTCACGCGGGCCCAGCCGTCTTTGTCTCACTACTGATGCGCATGGACGATTTGTTTGCAAACCACTCCCCCAAACCCGCTGGTATTGTTGCACCAGGAATCGAACACGACTCAGCTACGGATGAGTTGGTGAACCGGCTGCTACAAGCACGCGCTCCCACCCATCATTACACAGTACTGGCACACACAACAGATGCACGCGCGTGTTTCAATATCACGTCTTGTTATTATAATACTCACGCATCGACGAAGGGCACGTGCGTCGTGTTAACCCACTGCGGCACGACGTTTGTTGTGCATCGAAACAATTCTCGCAACTCCTTCACAATTCGCACGCATTCGCATGGGTTAATGGTTTTCGAGGGTGCCTCCTCCTCCTCTCTACTGACACTGAGAGAGCCTCTGCAATCAATCGCCTTCCTTTCGTATTCACACGATTAAATACGCTCAACAACAACAAGAAGACAATACCAGTTCAACTTGGCTAAACTCATCAGGATTGTTTTGATATGTACCAATATGAGTAGGGACCGCGTTGGTAGGGGCTGCTTAAAGGGCACGATCAGAAGTTCAAGCGACAGAGCCCCAACCCCGGCCAGCCGCAAGTGGCTGAGTTCACACCACGGTCAACGTGGAACTCGATCAATCACCAATGGCTCCTGCTGCTGGGGTGGGGGGGGCGGTGCAATGAGCACCACCTGGCGAGACGGCACCGCGCACACGGGCGGGAAGTCAACATCGTCCCCCCACCCCCAATACAGACGGGCATTCGCTTTTAAAAGGAGAGTACACCTCTGATGATGCAATGCTCGCTTCTTGCATGCCGATACAAGGATAATAAACTTGACCTGAGACTTTTGCCGACGCGAGTAATCGGCTGGAGGTGCTGGGGTTACCTCCCCTGTGAGTGCAGGCGAGCCAATAGTGTTGATTTAAGCTGTCTGCGCGTAACGCGCTGGCAGCGAGTGACTCACGAAGGAAAGGGAACTAATTTGCGGGGTCGGATACACCGCTCCTGCCGTGACCCCTCAACTCAAAAGCCCCGGGCGGGTCTCTGAGCTGTCACACACACACACACCCCAGCTGAGCTGTCGCACACACCCCAGCTGAGCTGCCACACACACACACAGCAGCCCCGATCATCACCACCCCGTCCAACGAGGAGCGCGCGTGGCTCGGTGCGGCGCAGGTGACTGAGCGCGCTTCGGCTCACTCACCGGAGAGCTTCAGCAGGTGGTGGTGGTGCCGAGAGGCGGCGAGGAGGCGGCGGCGCAGGTGACGCGGCACCGGTGCAATGAGAAGGCGCGGTGCTCGGTGGGCAGGGAAGGGCAAGGCGGACGATGCGCAGCCCACGATGTGGCGTGGTCCAGGGGGCAAGGGATGGCGGGCAGCTGCACAGGGCGCGGTGATGCGAGCGGCTGTCGTCGTTTTGCCGCTCGGTGGAGGAGCAAGTGCAAGTTGTGGAAGTGTTGCCGCTGTACGTGGCGGGGAAGGGCCCGGAGAGGCTGTCCGCTGCCCGTGCTGTGAGCCGCTATTTATACGAAGAGCTCGGCGGGAGGCAACTCCAAGTGACGCGGGGGCGAGGCGCGGGCAGCCCAGCCCAGCCCGGGACGCGATCCCCGCTGCGCTCCCAGCGCCGCTCCCCACCCCCGCCCCCTCTTCTTTCCCTGCTCCCCTCTCTCCCCGCTTCGCTCTCTCTCTCTGCTCCCTCTCTCCTCATTCTGCCCTCTCTCCCGGATCCCTCTCTCTCTCTCTCCCGCTATGCCCCGCTCCTTTCTGCGAGTGTAGCGTGAGCAAGAGTGACGAAGGGGCTGAATCTTTATACCTCTTAGTGATGGTGCGACTCTACACGAGAGTGGCGTCCATGCCATAGCACTTGTGCTGTAATGTGTTGAAGACAAATTCATTGCACATGGCTCATCGCCATTTCCAGCCCTGAACTAATTGCGGAAATTCCACATTCCTATGGCAAGGCCAATTTGTGTACGGAGAAACCGCAGTTAGTTTTCCGCAAAGTGAGGATCGATTGACCTTCGAGGGCTCGTGGGCTCAATTACCCCTTGCCCGGGATTTGAACTCGCAAGTTTATGGTCGTGGGTTTGCTAGCTTTAACCGCAGCCCATAATAGCACGACACGAAGCCTCATTCGAGGCGGACATGGAGCAACAACTACATTGGACGACACCCTCGATAAGATAGTACAATAAAGACATAATTACACGCAGTTACTCCTGCCAAATATATTGCCCGAATGGACTTCGCTGGGCTACCTTCACAAATAAGATTCTTAATTGAATGATGATGCAGCAGTACACGAGTGTACAATGATGATGATGATGATAGTCGTTGTTGCCCCGTGGTGCTGCAGTGGCGTCGTGGTCACCACACGCGGGATTCCAGCTCAGAGATCCACCGGTTGGTTTCTATCTCCGGGCGCGGCAGTGGCAGACAACGCAGCCTCTGTCCACCCAGCAGTGTCCAGGGGTGACAGCCACAGCGAGTTCGTCGGCACGTCTCGCCGGGTGGGGTGAAGTGTGGGCACTCCGCCTCCTGCTGCAAGACGTTTGTCCAGCGTGGAAGAGTAGACCAAGAGAGCTCCTTGGGGGGGGGGGGGGCTCTTTAGAGCTCCCTCTAGTGTGTGTATGTAGTGTGTGTATGTAGAGTGTGTATGTAGTGTGTGTAGTGTGTGTATGTAGTGTGTGTATGTAGTGTGTGTATGTAGAGTGTGTATGTAGTGTGTGTATGTAGTGTATGTAGTGTGTGTATGTAGTGTGTGTATGTAGTGTGTATGTAGTGTGTGTATGTAGTGTGTGTATGTAGTGTGTGTATGTAGTGTGTGTATGCAATGTGTGTATGTAGTGTGTGTATGTAGTGTGTGTAGTGTGTGTATGTAGTGTGTGTATGTAGTGTGTGTATGTAGTGTATGTAGTGAGTGTATGTAGTGTGTGTATGTAGTGTGTATGTAGTGTGTATGTAGTGTGTGTATGCAGTGTGTGTATGTAGTATATGTATGTAGTGTGTATATAGTGTGTGTATGTAGTGTGTGTATGTAGTGTGTGTATGTAGTGTGTATGTAGTGTGTGTATGTAGTGTATGTACTGTGTGTATGTAGTGTATGTAGTGTGTGTATGCAGTGTGTGTATGTAGTAGTGTATGTAGTGTGTGTATGAAGTGTATGTCGCGTATGTAGTGTGTGTATGTACTGTGTGTATGTAGTGTGTATGTAGTGTGTATGTAGTGTGTGTATGTAGTGTATGTAGTGTGTGTATGTAGTGTGTGTATGTAGTGTATATCTGTAGTGTGTGTATGTAGTGTGTGTATGTAGTGTGTGTATGTAGTATGTATATAGTGTGTGTATGTAGTGTGTGTATGTACGTAGTGTGTATGTAGAGTATGTATGTAGTGTGTATGTAGTGTGTGTATGTAGTGTGTGTATGTAGTGTATGCAGTGTGTGTGTGTAGTCTGTCTATAGTGTGTGTATGTAGTGTTTATGTAGTGTGTATGCAGTATGTGTATGTAGTGTGTGTATGTAGTGTGTATGTAGTGTGAATGTAATATGTGTATGTACTGTATGTAGTGTGTGTAGATAGTGTATGTATGTGGTGTGTATGTAGTGTTAATGTAGTGTGTGTATGTAGTGTATGTATGGTGTGTGTGTGTATGTAGTGTTTATGTAGTGTGTGTATGTAGTGTATGTATGTTATGTGTGTATGTAGTGTATGTATGTAGTGTGTGTATGTAGTGTTGTATGTAGTGTGTGTATGTAGTGTATGTATGTAGTGTGTATGTAGTGTGTGTATGTAGTGTGTGTATGTAGTGTGTATGTATTGTGTGTATGTAGTGTATGTATGTAGTGTGCGTATGTAGAGTGTGTATGTAGAGTGTGTGTATGTAGTGTGTGTATGTAGTGTGTGTATGTAGTGTATTATGTAGTGTGTGTATGTAGAGTGTGTATGTAGGGTGTGTATGTAGTGTGTGTATGTAGTGTGTATGTAGTGTGTGTATGTAGTGTATTATGTAGTGTATGTATGTAGTGTGTGTATGTATGTAGTGTGTGTATGTAGTGTATTATGTAGTGTATGTATGTAGTGTGTGTATGTAGAGTGTGTATGTAGAGTGTGTATGGAGTGTGTGTATGTAGTGTGTGTATGTAGTGTGTGTATGTAGTGTATTATGTAGTGTGTGTATATAGTGTGTGTATGTAGTGTGTGTATGTAGAGTGTGTATGTAGTGTGTGTATGTTGTGTGTGTATGTAGTGTGTGTATGTAGTGTATGTATGTAGTGTGTGTATATAGTGTGTGTATGTAGTGTGTGTATGTAGAGTGTGTATGTAGTGTGTGTATGTTGTGTGTGTATGTAGTGTGTGTATGTAGTGTATGTATGTAGTGTGTGTATGTAGTGTGTGTATGTAGTGTGTGTATGTAGTGTATGTAGGGTGTGTATGTAGTGTGTGTATGTAGTGAATGTATGTAGTTTATGTATGTAGTGTGTTTATGTAGTGTATGTAGTGTGGTATGTAGTATATGTATGTAGTGTATGTATATAGTGTATGTAGTGTGTGTATGTAGTGTATGTAGTGTGTGTATGTAGTGAATGTATGTAGTTTATGTATGTAGTGTGTTTATGTAGTGTATGTAGTGTGGTATGTAGTATATGTATGTAGTGTATGTAGTATATGTATATAGTGTATGTAGTGTGTGTATGTAGTATGTGTATGTAGTGTATGTAGTGTGTGTATGTAGTGTATGTATGTATTGTGTGTATGTATGTAGTGTGTGAATGTAGTGTATGTATGTAGTGTATGTATGTAGTTTGTGTATGTAGTGTGTGTATGTTGTGTGTATGAACTGTGTGTATGTAGTGTATATATGTAGTGTATGTATGTAATGTGTGTATGTAGTGTGTGTATGTAGTGTGTGTATGTAGTGTGTGTATGTAGTGTGTGTATGTAGTGTATGTAGTGTATTATGTAGTGTATGTATGTAATGTGTGTATGTAGTGTATGCATGTAGTGTGTGTATGTAGTTTGTGTATGTAGTGTGTGTATGTAGAGTGTTTATGTAGAGTGTGTATAGAGTGTGTGTATGTAGTGTGTGTATGTTGTGTATGTATGTAGTGTGTATATGTAGTGTGTGTATGTAGAGTGTGTATGCAGAGTGTGTGTATGTAGTGTGTGTATGTAGTGTTTGTATATAGTGTATTATGTAGTATATGTATGTAGTGTGTGTATATAGTGTGTGTATGTAGTGTCTGTATGCAGTGTGTGTATGTAGTGTGTGTATGTAATGTGTGTATGTAGTGTGTGTATGTAGTGTATGTATGTAGTGTGTGTATGTAGTGTATTTATGTAGTGTATTATGTAGTGTGTGTACAGTGAGGGAAAAAAGTATTTGATCCCCTGCTGATTTTGTACGTTTGCCCACTGACAAAGAATTGATCAGTCTATAATTTTAATGGTAGGTTTATTTGAACAGTGAGAGACAGGATAACAACAACAAAATCCAGAAAAACGCACGTCAAAAATTATATAAATAGATTTGCATTTTAATGAGGGAAATAAGTATTTGACCCCCTCTCAATCAGAAAGATTTCTGGTTCCTAGATGTCTTTTATACAGGTAGCGAGCTGAGATTAGGAGCACTCCCTTTAAGAGTGTGCTCCTAATCTCAGCTTGTTACCTGTATAAAAGGCACCTGGCCACAGAAGCAATCAATCAATCAGATTCCAAACTCTTCACCATGGTCAAGACCAAAGAGCTCTCCAAAGATGTCAGGGACACATGTATGTAGTGTGTGTATGTAGTGTATGTATGTAGTGTGTGTATGTAGTGTGTTTATGTAGTGTGTGTATGTAGTGTGTATGAAGTGTGTGTATGAAGTGTGTGTATGTAGTGTATGTATGTAGTGTATGTATGTAGTGTATGTAGTGTGTATGTATGTACGTAGTGTGTGTATGTAGAGTGTGTATGTAGTGTGTGTATGTAGTGTATGTATGTAGTGTGTGTATGTAGTGTATGTATGTAGTGTATGTACGTAGTGTGTGTATGTAGAGTGTGTATGTAGTGTGTGTATGTAGTGTATGTATGTAGTGTGTGTATGTAGTGTATGTATGTAGTGTGTGTATAAAGTGTGTGTATGTAGTGTGTGTATGTAGTGTGTGTATGTAGTGTGTGAATAAAGCGTGTGTATGTAGTGTGTGTATGTAGTGTGTATGTAGTGTATTTATGTAGTGTGTGTATGTAGTCTAAGTATGTAGTGTATTTATGTAGTGTATGTATGTAGTGTGTATGTAGTGTGTGTATGTAGTGTGTGTATGTAGTGTATGTATGTTGTGTGTGTACAGTATTTAGTGTGTGTATGTAGAGTATGTATGTAGTGTGTGTATGTAGTGTATGTATGTAGTGTATTATGTAGTGTATGTAGTATGTGTGTATGTCGTGTGTGTAGTGTATGTATGTAGTGTATGTCGTGCATGTATGTAGTGTATGTATGTAGTGTATTATGTAGTGTATGTAGTGTATGTATGTAGTGTATGTATCTAGTGTATGTATGTAGTGTATGTTGTGTATGTGTGTATGCTGAACTTCTTTGGTGCTCTGTGTAGCCAGCCGCGCTTATCAGCGGCCCTTCCGCCAGCAGTGGCTTGAGTGGTAACTGCA